GGAAACAGTCTCAAGGACATTTCTTTTTTCTTCCTCTTGTCTCAATCCCCAGAAAATCCCATGGTGAGAAGAGTGGCCTCTGTATCTAGCAGCACAGATGGTGTCACATGGCTTCAAGTGGACACTCCAGCTCAGACTATATCCCATAAGTAAAAGTGAAGGAGGGAGCACCACAATAAACTTCTTGATGACATTGCAGACGTGTCTGCGTGCTGAGCAGAGACTGGCTTTCTGCCTATGGGGTCAGGCAGGAAGAGATAGTATCTATTCTAAAGGCTCTTCAGCAGTCTTCTGAGGTTGGGGAGGAGCAGGTGACATCCTGGATGTCTGATGCAGTAATGACAACTATCACAAAAACATCACAACACTCGGGATTCCTCAGTCAAAATAACACCAATTCATGATCTCCTGATCAAACTCTTAAATCTCTGGATTTTCCCAGCTGGCAAGTCTATGGACGGGAAGGGGCAGGGGGAGAGGGACAGGGAAGTGGGGGAAATCAAGGCCCCCATGGTGAGAGAGGGAGTGAGGCAGGAGCAGGGGCCAGGGTGAATGGGGTCCTGGGGCTGGGGAGGGTTATCCAGAGACATGGGGGAGATGCGCACCCCTGGGGGAGGCATGAATGCTTGTGCTCCCCACAGGGCAGAGGCAGGCTGCCCACTGTGGGCTTGGGTCTCTGTGTCCTGCTGCCTTTGCCCCAGGAGCTCAGCCTTGCAATGCCAGTGTACTGGCACAGAGTACACTGTTTAGGACACAGAGTTGTCTTCATTCGTATTTCACATTCCATTTAAGCATCCCCTGCTCTCTCAGTGGATGGCAATGGCGTTGCATGGCTGAGCAAAGGCAGCAGGGTGCAGAGCCCTGAGCCCAGAGCAGGCAGCCTGTCTCTGGCCTACAGGGGGCACATGCCCCCCATGCCTCCCCTAGGGGTGCACACAACTGTGGGAAGCAGCACCCCTCCCACACCTCTGGACAACCTGCCCTGGCCCCAGGGCCCCATTCACCCCAACCTCAGCTCCTGCCCCACTTTCCCCATCACCATGGGGGCCTTGATCTGCCCCCCCCCCCC